CCATATTCATCATGAATGTGTGATTCATGATGAATATTCATCCTGAAGAGAGACACGTGGCATGTGCTGTAGGTGGTTCCCGGTTCCTAATGAATTTTGGGTTCCCAAYGGAACTTTCCTTTTTGGCAATATACTTCAAGTTTTGTCCGTTGGTTCTATTTTCTGGCCAAGAACTAACATCTGCTGACATACTTTTCCTTATCATTAACAAAACTACTGGCAAACCGGTCAAGCCACTTCCATTTTTTGGTCTAGAAGTTACCTCTGATATTGCTGAGGATAAAGATGACCAGTAAACTGTTTGTGCTGCGTATTCAGACTGACCAAGCCAATCCATGGTGCTGATTCGTACARTTTCCCCAGTTTTTACAGATTTAATAGTGTCGACCCATGCCTGTTCATCCGTCTGGTACTTCCCAAATGACAGCTGCAGTTCAGGTATAACGTCATCCATATGAAAGAAGAAAGCATCAAAGAAGGTACAAATATGGAACATAGAACAAAAGATATATCCATTTAAATTGATGACACCAAATTGATACACAACAGGTATTACCAACAAAACGGGATCGGCTGGCTCAAAGGCGGATCTAGAAAATTTTTCAAGTGGTGGCACCATTTGACTACAAGAAACGAAGATATGGATATTTTTTTTACAAAATCATCATTGGTTTCTTGGTTAGTTCCTTGCTTTTCATATGTGAGGTCCTATGTACGAGTCTTTTATTACAAATTACCTCAGAGACGTAATAAATTCTGAAATTAAAAGCAAAAACCAAGAAAATGACCCAAACAGGATTTGAACCTGCATCTGGGGTGAGAGAAAGGCCATGCAACCCAACTCCACCAAGGGAAATTTGTGTCATCATTGTAGTTTTAAAATATATATACAGTTGCACATAACAAAATGATATGGTGGCACCTTTCACGACCCTATAATTTTTTACACTGTGACGGAGGACCAAAACAGTTGCACATGCCACCGTATCCTATAGAGTGGGTCCGCCCCTGAGTTGGCTAATCTAGTAACTCGTAGCATAACTACATATCCCCCAAAATAAAGAGGAACGTTTTAATGGATCAACAATGTAAAAGCCATCTCTAAAGTACGTTTACTTTGGGGTTTTATGATGCCATCTTGTTAAGGTATAAGCACATGAAAATTCATGTAGTATTCCAACCATATCCATAAGCCTGGCAAGACTTTGATGAAACATGAGAATCATCACCATCAAAAGTTCGACAGAAGCATCAAACTTTTTTTTAAAACAAGCACAACATGTAACAGATAATATAAAAAATTTAAAACAAGATTTTAAGAAGTAGAACCATATAAATAAATAGGCTGGGCAGGCCAAATGAACAAGCTCAAAAATATCCCGAGTGCTCCTAGATGGGTTAGAAGCACGGATATCTACCCATTTGAATACTATCATTCAACAAATGCATTAAAAGAAGGAACATCTAGCTGATACTCTAATAACCTGAGAAATACCAAACTGATAAGCTGCTCAGAACTTTCAAACTGGTAAAGAACCCTCAGCATAAAATGGACATCTATGATCTATCCATCACCCCACACTCACTACATTMAGAGAGGAAAAAGTATTGACCTCTGGAGGAGCGAAAGAGAGATAGCTTAATRGAGGCTGTAAAGACGAATAACTGCATCCAGGAGTCTGAATTGATGTTCGAAAAGTTGAAGGGTCTGTGAGCGGTGGATAGCCAGCTGTGTGAGGAACCTCCACATAATGAGGAAGAGGGGATCTGCAGCAATATTGTTAACTTGTAACGAGGTTTATGATCCCGTGATTCTAGATGGTACAATAATGTTATGATAATCACAATTAAGTGGAAAAGTTATGTTGAATTAAGAGCAAAGTAGTATGCAAATTAGAAATAGTGACCCTCATGAACTAGAATCAATATTCAGTGAGATAACATAATTTCAGTGAAGCAAAAAWTTTTAGTTCCAATAAAATTAAAATTCACCAAGTTMACTAACATACCTGCACCTTCCTTTAGATGGTATAAAATGTGACCAACAAGGTACTGTTCTATTGATCTGCCATTGCTGATCCCATATCTCTGTTGTGTAAGCYGAATGATTCAAAGATCCAAGTGCCCATAAGTTATTAAAGAAGACCTCAACCTTTCGTGCTATAGTTGGACAGTCAACAAGATAGATTCCGACTTCCTTTACCTGAAAAAGCAAACATTTAAGTCTCTAAGCATTAACTCAAAACTTCGGTGTAAAATAAGGGTCAGGAATGTGTAATAAAATTCTGAGAAAGAGAATATATGTGATATATAATGGACAAGCGGGGCAAAATATAAAACCAACACCATAATATTGATWCAATATGTGAAAATCAAGATTGGTAGGAATTACATTCTTCGAAACAAGAAAATGGAAGTTTATTCGAATTGTGTCAAATATTTAGTAAAATTTAATCAGAACTTTCTCGTATTGAACTCTCTGGCTTAATAAAACTACCTGAGTAAGAGATTTCCAGTCATTGTTAGCAGATCCAATATAAACATCTCGAGAATCTGATATCCAAACTTTAGCATGGACCACACCCGWTCCAAACCAATCACTAGACAATAAGGTTACATTCTGTACATTCGCCCTCCCTGAAGCCAGGTCATCGGGTTCTTCCGTGTAATCAGGATATACTCCTGAATGCTGCAAAAGCCTGAAAAAGATAGAAGAAAATTTGKTAAGCATGTAAAACTGCAGCATATACCATGAAATAAGCAGTGCTGAATMGAAAAATAAAAGCCCTGGCCTGCRGCATGTACCTAATATTGACATCACGGTYAGCAGCGTCTTCAATGGATTTATATACACTTGAACCGTCAGCAGAACCAAAGCTCTGCATGTTCTCTTTTGAGTATCCATAATCTCCCGAACGAGGATCATTAGGATGTGCTATTAGCTGCCAGTACTGTGCCATTATGTCCAATTTATGGGAAGAGTTTCCAGCTAACCATCTAAATACRTCCGCTGATCATATGCATTAACAATACTTTTATTACTTGTTACAGTGAGTTAAGCTGGTAGACRGGAAAAAGTACCWAAAAGCAAAACTAACAAAACCACTAGGCTAATAAATGCAAGTTCATACGGAAAATCATACATTGTATGTATGGAGAATAAGATTAAAATTATTAATCTCCAAAATTGACCCTAGAACTCAATCAGAAACTAAATCACCACTCTCATATGAAATGTTGGCTGTGTATAATAATAGAACAATGGGAATAGATGGAAGGAACCCACTACTTCAAGTTTTAAAGCATCTTCTAATACTTCCTCAAGTATACTTTATACAAGAAGTAAGGAGCTTCAATCGTTATCTTTAGATCCATAACCAAGAAGGAGAAAAGGGGGAGGCAGGGAGTGGTGCAAGTGATGTTAAAAGTAAATTATCTCCACAACTCATCCCTCCAACAACATCAAGAAGACCAAATAAACAATTAGGCCCGGAAAAATTGGACACGTAAATAGTTTTTCTCCACAAGTGATCTTTGTCAAGTAATTTGAAGGAATGTTTCTCCAACTCATATTGGTCATCGAGCTCAGGATTAGGTAACTTTTCCAAGTAGTTCCYAACATCGTGTAGAAGAACAACTATAAGCCAATCGAATCACATTMTAGGGTATGGATGTTTGTACCAGGCTGGTTTCTCAACTACTCTTTCCCCTACACTCTACAGACATTAACAGTCAAATACAGGCAAC